TGACTAGGAACACGGAATGCCAATCGAGTGGATATGAATTAAGGAGCTTGGAGAAGCTCCTTCATCTCTTCGTCACCTCTTCATGAAGGGAGGAATGCAATCGAATTAAAAGAACAGCGTCATTTTAGTTTGACACTCGAATACCCAAATTTCGAACCAATGACATGCGTCGCCGGTAAGCTGGCTGTGTTCTACGTGGGACTCCTGCTAGGTTATTTAATGCTGTTCCGATGTTCCCGTGTCCTCATTACAGCCCTTAATTCACTGAGATCTGTGCATGTTGCTGTGCAATAACTGTAAGAAAAGCCACCAAACACATTTGTTCAAGTTCCTGTTTTTTTTTTTACTTGGCAACATTTCTATGTTAAATCACTGCGTAGTTTATTGGTGCGTAGTCTAGAGAAGTTTGGCTTTCTTTTTTGTAGAAGACACCCTGCCAGAAGCACTCAGCTTCTTACAAACATCTCTCGTAAAAAAGTGCATTCTCAAAACAACGTATGAGTGTACAATCTCCGATGTCAGGATGTCCTTATGAACTGAACAACCAACGCTTGGAACATCGCAGTCTTTGATGACATCCAGCGCATCCCAAAACATGTCGGCGCACAGATGGTTTTCTCCTAGCACGAGAGACAGTTTTTCTTCGACGCGTTTCAACATTGTGTAAAGTTCTGTAGAGGGATGCTTGAGGCTTCCGTTCCTGAATTCTCTTGCCAATGTCAGTAGTGAAGCGGGGAATTTAGTGTTTGTTGACTGGATGCTGCTTATGCAAGCAGCGCAGTTGACGTGCTTCAGAAAAGAATGTACAATGTAGCCGCAGAGGTAATATACGACGCACTCCTGTACTGCTGGCAAAGCATATCCGTGGTCCGGAAGCGGTGTCGGTCCCGAGTGGGATGCTGAACTTATTCCAGGCAAGCAAACCTCGGAAATCTTTGCGCTGATTGTCTCACGCAACTTTTCATACGTTGCCAGCTGCTGCTTCTTCCCTTGCTTCATCGTCTCTTGCACTGTGGCTAGTATTAAGGTTGGCTCCTCTTGGACATTGCCTGCAATCGAAGCCTTGACAGGTGTGTACAGGCTCAGCAACCTGTAGATATGGGAAAAGCTCAGGATCGTCGGATGGTCTTCGTCACCTCCAAAGCTCCTGGTGATTCCGAAGAACCTCTGTAATGGTAGTAATAAAGCCGTACGTCAGTTCACCGTATGTATCTCTTTCAGAAGTCAAAGTACGCATGGCGTATGGAATGCATAAAGAGGATTTATAGAGTGCAAGTCTCAGGCGGGAATTGCACATCTCACATAGAGATATGACGACTGTTTAAAACCACGCTATGCTTCCTCATAACCGTTTTGTTTATTTTCCATGCAATGAAGTAAGTGCGCAGTTTTATGGAATTATGCTAATCTCACCTCCAAGGGGTCTTGATTAAGCTTGCCTGTGAGCACGTAGCGTGCACCTTTAGCAAGGAGGTCATTTGTTAGTTCCAAGATAGATGACAAAGTCACCCTTAGAGACTCCATTGTTACTTGAGATGCGAACATGGCTGTTCCTTTCTCAACGTGGTTTCTCTCTGTCAAGTCCAAGATAATCATGAAATCTTGGATGATCTAGAAAAGGGAAAAGTTTATGTTAGACATTACTTTTTTGTGCAAGCTAGCTCTTACATGCAAACGTCGACGCCTATAAAAAAAGGGACCTTTGAAGAAAGGCATAAAGTTATTTTTAACCTGATTTTTTAATGAAACATGTGTGCCACTGAATGAAAATGGAAGCTGGTAATACTTGAAATCACGCTTGCGGCGTGTCGCCTTCTCATCGACGTTTATTTCAGTTATCTGGAAGGAGAAGTTCTAAGTTCCAAGACATTTATTCGTCGTCTTTCTTTCAATAATACCTTCCTTCAATTACAAAATAAATGTCTACTTAAACTAGGCTTTTGTTGGTGTAAATGTTTGTCGGCGTTTTGTATTTTATTTATATGCCCAGTGCCTCAGTTCTTGATTAACATTACCTATTGCGAATGTTCTTCAAAAGTAGCACATTTTATCGCCCTTGCCTTAATTTCCTTGGATGTGCTCCTTATCCCAAAACGAGGAAGCTTGATGTTCAGGGCATCAAAAAGGTCATTTATGATGCGGGTAAACGCGGCTGTCCCCTCGCAGTCTTCCAGGCCATCTTGCTTGAGTCTCCGGTACACATCAAGGCCGATAGCCGTACTTCGGCTGAGCAGCTAGGGGACAGAAAACGTATAGGGGCATTTTATTAATCGCAAAAAGACTTAAGGAGAACACTTCACAGTACCAGTTAAGTTTGTGTTTCACATGTGAAGAATTTGCCTAAATAATCAGGTAAGCTATAAGTTCTTTCAAAAGCAGCTTTTCGTAATCTTACCTGTACTGCGAGCTTCACACTCATTTTTCTCATGTTGTCAGGGCAGACGTGTTCAGCGGTAAGCTTCGGAACAATGCGGAGTTGCTCTTTGCCGTCTACTTCTTGCAAAACTCGGTAGTGGTCATAGTTTATGCGATGTTCACCAATCTATGAGCAAGAAGAAGAGAGGGAAAAAAAAAGTCCGTCAGTCGTATGTAGTGCTGCGAAGAAAATGTATTTTGATTGGCACCGCGACACTATTTATTGCGATATTGTACTGTACGTGGTACTTACCATGCCATATTTGTGTCGAAGAAGATGGTTTCTAATGCATTTGACAATGTGGGGTACATCGCAAAGGAAGTAGAGGCTTTGATTTGGCTCGCATGGGTGCTGAACTTTGTGGTTTGCTGTGTGAAGCTTTCCTGATATGCCAAAGTTGGACCACATTGCTTTGTTCGTGCTGGCGCCATCACTGATTACTGCGACGACTATGGCGTTGTGTTTGCGTAGCTGCACGATTGCATCAAGAACTATTTTGGCGAGCACGTGTCCGGGGGCTGCGTTTTTTGTTGCAAAACTTGCAATCGGTTGAACCCATGAGTGGAATAGAGGCACAAACATTGCAACCAATGCATGATCAGCAGTAGCTGCTGAAACTTCACCGTCTCCGTAATTTACGAACCCATCAATCTTGTATGTTTGACGGTTGAAAGCTACGGCTTGGCGTACCTTCATTTCATCTATTACTAGTGTGCCGTAACACTGGACTCCTTTCATAGTCTTCATGAAAGCCCCTATGCTGGAAAGGGAGAGCTTATTAAAGCCAAACTCACAAGGCATTCCTCTTATTATTTGTCGGAGCCTAGTCGAAGTTGGAAGAGGGAGGATTTTCATTCTTGACATCAAGCGGTACACACGTGGGCTTGAAATCTTCAAGAGAAGGCAACTCAGCAGCCACCCACAGTCATACCGCACACCTCTTGAAGATTTCGCTTTCATCGACTGCAGTGCTGTCCGAAATGCAAGTTGCTGCAGTGGTGGAAGTTCAGCTAAAACCTCGCTCAACAGTGCATTGCTTGGATCTGATGACAACTTTTTTTTCAAGCTTAGCAGGTCCCTCTTGTATTTCTCCCGCAGCACTGTTGCTCTTATAGTCTTCTTTCTTAAATTTCTCAACAGCGCAGATGGCAAAGGCACGTACTTGCTCTTTCTTGAACGTCGTTTCTGCCTGCACTGCAAGTTCTTTTTTGCTTTCCTGCACTGAACGCATAAGGCTTTCGCCGACAGCACTGCACATCGCTTGCTTCTCCATGTTCTCCCAGACCTTTCAGCCGTCTTAGAAGTTGATATTAAAGGACATAAACGAGAATCAAAACCATTGCAGATACCCAGGCTCTCAATGAGATGAAGAAAGGGCGCTGCGTCTTTCAAGGTGGTAAAATTGAGCTTGTCACTGTTAATAAAGGTGTAAGACGATTCCGGCACAAGTTTCCCTTTAGCGCTGACAACAACGGTCGAGTTTTTGTTTATAACGACAGCTCTTTCAATAAAAACTACGCCACCAATTTCTTGAAGTTTGTAAAAAACAACACGCTCATCCGTGTGTTGCACACACCATGCTCCATACACGGGCAAGTCTTCTATGCCACCAAACCAATGTTCACCTGTGGAGCTTTCTTTCATGATGACTTCCATGCTTTCAGCATTTGAGGCAGCCCTGTTTTCGTGTTCAAGCATTTCAGTGCACGTCTCACTTTCACTCTGAAGAACTGGGGTAATGTCATCTTCGGCCACTAGCACGCTTGCTGCATTTGTGCCAACATTTTCTACACAAAGCTTCAAATCAAGCTCAGCGCAATTAGCAAAATGCCGCGGTACCGCACCTTTCTTCAGTTCCCAGCGTCCTCGCGGAATCGAGACTGTTTCGCCATTCACAACATGCTGGAAGGAGGTGCAAATGTCCGCTTCATCAAAGTGACGATCACATATGTATGATCTTTGAGTAACTTCGAAGTTTGCACGGCCTGCCGCATTGTTCCACTCCCTCAGCACATTGGGGTCTTTCGGTGGCTTGAAAAAGTGTCGCTGCACGAAGGGCACTTCATTTGACGTTGCCGATGAATATCCACTTCGACAGCCTGGCACAGCACACCTCGGCATGCCGACCGTTCTCCCGAAGGGAGCAAAATTCAACCGCGAACAATTGCTTGCTCAGAGTCACCGTCCGCTTTCTCTCCAGAAAGCAGAACAGCGTAAACATTATCGTCTGCTCTGTCATGGTTGAAATTTAATGCATAAGGTCTGTTACGAAACAACGAGCCAGCCTTTTTTTTATATTTAGGTTACTTAACGTTACTTAATTTAGGTTACTTAACCATTATTACCAGCAGGGAAAAAATCGTCTGCAAGCGCAGGCCCTGCTAGCCGCGTCGCTGCTCCGTCTGCTCCGCGCGATGCCGGCTGCGCGGCGGAGAGGTCACGTGACGTGGTCGCAAAGCGATGCCAGCGACACCTGGAATGGGCGACGATTTGCGGCCGCCTCCTCGCGCGAGTTTTCCAACTGTCCTCATCCAGTAACGTTGCTCCAGAGGTTCTCTAGAACCTCTTTGCTCAACAGAAGCGTAGAAGCATCTCCGGCCTTGCTTCTCCTCTAGAGATTAACTTTCTTCATAAAAAATGCGATGATGGTTTTCATGCAAAGGCGATGTGGTCTGAAAAATAATGTTAAGGCTTATATTTCAGTTTAGTTGACACAATAAATGTGGATTTTATTCAGTGGTCTGGACTACAAAATAGGCATAGGATCGAGCGAGCGCTGGCCAGCTTGTCGTCTGCCATCTGCCCTCGTACGGTCTTGCAAGCGGCAACATGTTACTGCGCACTGTTTACGTTCGCTTGAGTCCATCGACAATCGTACGTTTTTGCATTGCTTGTTCCATTTTCGGTTTCATTTCGACTTCGAACGGCCACGGGAAACACCAGTCTCGTTCCGAATTTCTAGCGTGTATTGACTCTCCGTGTGGTGCTGCCCAGAACTTTATACGTGAGGCGGTCCAGTCTGCGAAAATCTGACTAATTAATTTTGACGAGTGCTGCACAGTACTTGACTTTAGTGCGTACTATCACTGACGTTTCCCATTCTTTGTTGTGTTTATTTCACGAAGTGCTGGTTGTAAACGGGGGTGCAGATTTGTTCGTGCCTCAAAGACATCGTTAATAATTGTTGTAGGTGCAGAGGTATTGACCTGTAGTAATGAATTTAGATTGATCGAATTATGTGTTATATCGAATTACTACAAATCTGTATTGATAAGTGTTTGACTGACGAATTGATCGTTCGATGTGGTACGTGAGTTCGAGTAATAAAGAGCACTGCGCCATAGAAGGTGATTCATAAGAGCTAGAAGCAGCACGTGCGTCGTGTTCCTTCAGTGGACATTACGATAGTTATAGCGCGAGAACAAAACGACGACACAGAGACAAGAAGGTGTCGTCGTTTTGTTCTCGCGCTATAACTATCGTAATGCCATACCAACTAGCCCAAGCTGCCACACTTCTAAGTTCAGTGGACAGTTTGCAAACATCTGTAAGGCAGCTTTCCTGTAGGGCTTGTTTTCCTAGCAAAAACTCTCGCTTACATACAGCTGTTCTCGCTTTATAGAAGGCGTGCGAGTTCAACAAAGCTTTTTTTTTTTTTTCTACTACAATGGGGCTGTCCCGGTTCGTATGTACCATCAGTCATCGCATGGTGGGCGACCTGTCGTTCGTGAGGAAAAGAAAAAAAGAAAAATAAACACAATGAGCGAAAAAAGCAGTCTGTGAACGAGAGTTCTTGTTTGCAAAAAAAAAAATAACTTTACAAAAAAGCCGCCTTGCAGATTTTTGCAAATTGTCCATTGTTCCGCATAATAGTGCCTGAGATGAGCACCTCTGCAGCGGCTATGGCGACCGATGTGCACCCACTCGGAAGGCTGCATCCGGAGGGCAAACGAAGACACCGAAACTCAACGAGCACGACTGCTCTACCAGAGTCGCAAGCGTGGCATGCTCGAGAATGACCTGATCCTCAGGTCTTTATTACGTTCACTGCTATCATGTCGTCGAACCTGTCCATTTCCATTTACTCTTTCTGGTCTTGCTTCCAAATAGAAGACAGCCAGGCCATCATTGTAAATCAATTTTTCAATCAATCAGTCAGTTTTTATCATTACGATTGTTACAGAATATAAAATATACAGGCGAAGGTCCCAGAGTATAAACTGAAACTAGACCCAAGCCACATTAGCAACGTATGTGCTTAGCTGTGTGTGTATGGTAAATATAACACGTTATGCCAATACAGCCAAGGCTCATACAATTAGTCAAAAATATAAGGCAACAATGATCTTTCGTAGTCGAAGAAGTTTTAACACCACTTTTTTTTTTCTGGGTAAGGAAAGGTGATTGGGAAGATTACTTGAAACTGCATGGGCTACAACCTGTCTCTCAATTGCCTAGCAGATTTTACTACTGATTGCACATCTCACATCACCTGCATCACTTTGAGTATTGAAATAATCAGCTGGTCTTGAGCCTTAAGCATGTCTTGACTGTCTTTCATCCCTTGCAGCACATTTGCAGCCAAGCACCTGGCTTCGTTCACTGCAGAGCAGCTTCAGCAGTATGACAGGCTCATAAATCTGCCATCAAATGACTGGGACATCTACTACTGGGCAACAGGTGAGGCCTCACAGTGTAAACATGGTGCAAATGATTAAGGTGGGTGTAATTGAGTGTGCCGTGTGTTGGTGTCCCGACGCAGTGACGAGGACGAAGTAACCATAGGCACGATGCCACACACGCCAGTCGTAGAATAAAATCGGTGGGTTTATGTAATTCAGTGCAGCAACATCAGTCTTCTATTTTCCAGCTACAGTGGTGACACTGGATTATAGAACAAGATTCAAGAAGCTTGCTTAGGACACTCGAGCAGAGCTTACCAACCTCTTACCTGTCACCATAATGCCTGTCACCATGGCACGACTACCAGATTGAACCACAGCACACTGCATCATGTTACCGCCACAGTTTTCCCAATTCTGGCCAGACAGTCCAGCTATCCAGCTCATCAAGGTGGAGGCTAGTTTTTAGGTGCGTACCATCATCTCGCAATAGGACAAGTAAGCTATTACTGTAGCCGTGCTTCCTCCTGCTCTGTGAAGCATTGTGCCTTCTCCAGGACCGCAGGCATACGACCGACTTTGACGTTTTGTGCTAGCCTTACCACAGCCAGCAGAGCCACCTCACTTGCTCCCTGCCATGCTAAACATTAGCTTCGAACCTCAGGCTGTCACAATCGCACTTTTAAAACAAGCGAACTCAGATTTCCAATTCCAGCTGTTTTTGTGCTGTGGCATCAGTCAGTTTGCGGGTAACCATGCAGCCATTGCACGACATGCTTTTCGTTTTATGCCCAAGGCGACGCTGTGCTTGTCACAGTGGCAAGAACAAGTGTCTGCTCATGTCTACAGCTTTTTCTGTCACACCTAACATCACCAACGCCAGAATTCATATACCAATGCCTACTCGGAGTCAAGTAGCCCCGACATCATCATTTGATGTGCCGACACCAACGGCTGCACAAAAACTTGCAGATGGTACAGATCTATCCCCACCAGGCACGGGAATGGCACACCCCTCAGACACCTCAAATGCCTGCAATAAGCTCCTACTAGAACCATTGCCTGAGGAGCCAACCATTGCCAATGCGGCCGTGAGCCCAGCACGTCCAATGCATGGTCAGCCAGCTCTTCTTTCAACACCACCTGATGCACCCGTGTTCAAACAAAAGCTCGACACAGCTGTCCAGTTCTCTGAAATCAAGAAATGCCGAGCACTGCTCTACACCACCACTACAGGAAAAAGGGGCTGTAGTAAGCTAGTGTACCGATGACGTAGGTAGGATGTGGCATGCGGGAACCATGCTATGAAATCAGTTCTTTTTATAACTCTGTGTAGCAACATCGTTAAAGAGCTTGTTTCTCAGAAATTTCAGTGTAGTTGGCTGTGAGCAAAAGATCATCATGTAATGCACGACCCGTGAAATTGAGAATGATACAAATAAAATAATAGAAATATCCTAGGTCAAAGTGTGGATTGAACCTGGGTCGTTTCGGTCGCAAGCAGATGTTCTACCTCACGGCCTTGTGAATACAGCTAAAATAACTTTTTCTGCTTGGAAATGCAGTGAAAGTTACAGATGCTTTACCAAACACAGGCGTCCTGTTTACATATGCTTCTCAATATGACATGAAATATTGCTGTAATAATGTGTGGTACAAGTGCCATTTGCAATTGGGTGTGAGAACGTGTGATTATTATAATGAATTCGTGGTTTAAAACCAGTAACCCACTACAAAAGGCACACAATGTACTGCGCTTGTTTAAGGCCACAGAGTGGGCGCATAACAAGTTTAAAGGTTTCATGCACAGAGTGTTTAAAGTATGCGCTAGGAACAGAGTATCACTATTGCGTTCAACTCTTAAAGATGAAGCTTTAGGGTTTCTAAATTTTTTTTCATGGTGGTTTGCAAGCTCTAGCAATCATGGGGACACTGTTGTCAGTGTTTGTAGTAATGCCTTAGCTATCCAATCAAAAGATCTAGAGCACGATTCTCGCTGTGTTCAATTTATGGACATGTCCATATCAGCCGAGGGGATTCAGTTACGCAAAAAGTGGTGAATCGTGACGTCATGGCGCCCTTGATCACGTTGGCGCACCGAACACCCCAGCACATTCCTAGCGAAAAAAGAAACTAAGTGAAAAAATTTACAGCCACACTTGAACAAGCTTGAGAAGTCTGAATGTACTTATGAATGTGTTTAGATGTTTGAAGAGTAATGCAGGGAACTCGTAATGACCTTCCAGGGTTGTCAGGCGGCCGGCCGCGTTAAACCTGATTCAAGGGCTAACATGATCAGCGTTCATCTATGGCCTCAGAGATGTGCGTCTAAAAGCGAATCTCTGGGGGCAGCCTTCATTGTGGCGAAACGCATTTCGTCTTTCTCGTTCATGACAATCGTTATAGTGCGACCTAAGGACAAGAACATGAGTGCCTGCCAACTGCCAATATGACCTACCAACTCGCCCAAACCGCCATGCTTCTCATTCATGTCTATAATTGTGAAAGCTGCGTGGCATCAAAATGAGGTTGTGGAAGACCAGAAACAGGCGGTGTGCTGCTCGCCAACTCCAGTCTATCAGTGGAGGCCGAATTGGACTTGTCCACAACGAGAATAGCTTCCCTGCTGCAGAATATGAAAAAGCAGCTCTTGACTCACCCTGTCATAGGGGAGTGAGCCTGAGCTGCCTTTTCATAATCTGTGGCAGATATTTTGATTGGATTCACTTTTTGATGTATGTGCAAGCACACTTGTGACATCCTCATTGCTTCTTTTTCTCATTTTTTAAATGAAAGTGTTTTATGCCAGGGTTCACTACAGCTCCACTGACATATTTCTGTCACGGATATTGCCACGTTCCATTTCCCAAGTTTTTGTTATCGTCCCAAAACACCACACGATTCTCAGCGCAAACCGCGCCTGCAGTTTTCGAGAAGGTTCCGGACTGTAGTAGATCATTTCGATAAGATCACGCCCAGCTGTGCGAACGGTACAGATTGTTCTGGAACCTACGCCACCACCAGCGATAACGCTAGAACATTCGATGGGAAGAGTATAAATGCCGACGCGCTTCGCCGCTTGTCAGTTGTTGATCGAAGGCCGACGCTCCGTTCGCCGCTATCAGTCCGAGACTGCTATCTGTGCAAGACTGCTGCTATAATTGGACTTTCCGTTTACCGGGTGCAGGTTCGCCCAAATAAACAGTTATATCCCAACATAAAGACTCCTGTCTTCGGCCACGTCACGACCCCGTAACAATGTGATGTCAGAAAGTGTACTAACAGATTGCAAAGAAGAAAAACAGGAACAAAAAGTTGTGTAGCAGGGCGTTGAAACAGTGAACTCTTGCTTAGCTGCATGTGCGCAAGCCACTAGGCCACAGAGCATACGTTATCCAGCGTGTGAATGGTAAGCAATTTCTACTCACTATGTACGAGTAGAGCTCAGCTACTTCAACGCATTTGCTTCATCAGTAGCCGAGCCAGATGGCGCGTGTTAGGAGCTCACGCTCTGAAGGCCGTAGTCCTGCTCCATCCTGCATATTGGTCGCTTTGCAATGCGTGTGCCTCCATATGGCAAAGTGAAAATGCGTATAAATGTTCTTTGGCATGGTGGCACGCTTATCACAGGATTTGGGCACTTTGTACCTCTTGTGCTTCCACCGCAAGTTTGCTTTGAAGAGCACGAAGGTCACTTTGCTGACTGCCACATTTGAAAAATGGCGTGCTACTTGCACACAAAGAAGTAAGAATTGTGACAGCTCTTTGTGCTTTTCCTTTGTATACTTGTGCAGGTGTTTCGTGTGCCTCCTTTGAGCTGCATGCTTTAAGTGTCGAGCTGTAATTTGTCTGTGCTCGACCTCTGTATGCTCATTTCGTGCATGGTTTCTGCTTGTGGTGCGCACTGCAATTTGATATAGCTGGTATTCACCTATTGCAATTTGTTGTTGTAAAATAATTGCTCCACCCTTTTCATGAAACATTGCACAAAAAACACTCAGGTACATCTGTAAAGGCATGTTTCACTTTTGTGTTATACCGATTCCTAAAAAGAGAGATCTGTTGCGTTTTTTTTTTTGTAATAAACTCGTTGATAGTGAGTACTTGTCTTGTTTTTTTATTTTAAGACCATGAACCACACCATTCTTTTAGGTTAGCTCTCCTATGTCTTGCGGAAGTCTTGACATGAAGCATTACCACCGTACAGCCCAGCTTTGACCATCCTGTGTTGCCAGCAAGTAACACCTGCTAAACATTTTGCGCAAGCATTTTAAAGAAATGAAGTATGGTATTCATCAAGTTTTTATTTGCATGTGCAGTTGCAACAGTGCAATGAACGATAAGACTGTTTGAAGCTTTTCTTGTCGATGAATTGCTTACATTAGCAGAACTGCATTCATGAGCCAGTCTTTGATTGCCTTGCCTAAAGGGGACATATTTTGCTTAAAGGGTCATCTTTCATTTACAGCTGGCACTGCCATTCTTGAGCGTACAGTGGTAGGTTTTGTGCCTGTATCTTTTTTCACCATAGTGTGGCCTTTCAGTTGCTTCTCAGTGGTTGTTTGTGTTTTTCTGTTGTCTTGCCTTGTGTTTCTGTTGTCTTGCATTGTGTTTCTGTTTGCTGGGCTAACTTCCTATACAATTAATTCCTGCCAACTGGTTCAACTCTCTGTTGTTCAAAGCTACAGTGCTCATGTGGAGTTCACCTCATTGTCATTGATTCTCTTTAACGCCATCCCGCACGTTGTAGTTCTTCACAGTGCTTTTCTTTCTTTTTTTTTTTTTTTACTGTAGGAGCCAAGACTACTCCACAAGAGTTTGAGAACGAGGTCATGTCACTGCTGCGACAGCACGTACGCAATGACGAGCGTGAGCAGCGGTTCAAGCAGCCTGACATCTCCTAGCCAAATTAGAAATGAGAACAAGCCTCTCAATGTGTTGGAAAACTATCCAAAGGTTCTGAGGCTGCATAGATATGAAGAAGGCCCGGTGCACTTAGCTTGTCTAATCTACATTGCTTCACTTTGCCTTTGGGCCTTTGTATAGTGCTTCACCTGATCGACAGCAGCTAGGTGAAACATTGTGTATTACACATTCTGTAGAAGTTAAAGCTTCAGATTAAATTTTTCTGGTGCGTATCTGTCTTCTGCCTTTTGGTTTCCCCCATTCATGCTAATGAACACATTTTTCTACATTTGCAGTAAAGCTAAATAATGCTCTGAATATCTCGTTATGAACAAAGGTGGAAAATTCCATTTCGTGTCGGCAAATACTTGTTCATCACAGAGGCGTTGAACGACTACTTCATCTCGGTGTTTACAAGTGATAATGGAATCGCCCTTCCTTTTCTATCGCTATATAACATACCCCCCATAGATGACATTAGCGTTTCTGAAGAGGGTGTTCTGTCGTTGGTGCTAAACATTGAAACGAAATTGTCACCCGGAACTAATGCTATACCCAACGCATTTCTTGTTCGATACGCGGAATGGTGCAGCAAATATTTATCAGTTATATTCTCACAATCATTGTGTAGTGGCAAAGTCCTGAGTGAATAGAAATATGCAAAAATAATTTCAATACCTAAATCCAAGAACAATTCGCTAGTGTCGTCATACAGGCCAATTTTGTTATGTGCATGTGGAAAATTACTTGAACACATAATATTTAAACATATTTCAGCGTTCCTTGAGGCTAATAACATCATCAACCCATGGCAGCACAATTTCCGGAAAGGGCTATCAACTAGGATACAACTGCTTGAGACAATTCATGACCTCACTGGCGCTCTAGATAACCATAGTCAAATTGGCTCAGTATTCCTTAATTTTGAATAAGCATTCCATTGCGTCCTCCATGAGAAGTTGCTTATAAAATTCAAACCAATCCTAAAATATGATTCTTTACTAGCATAGATTTGGCCAATCCTTCCCCATAGGTACCAAAGTGTTTCTGTAGAATACATGTAAGCTCTACCCTAACCCCAGTTAACTCTGGGATACCGCTAGGCTCCATCCTTGGCCCACTTCTCTTTTTAATATTTATTAATGATAGTCTTGGACATACCCATCGAAATGAGACTTTTTACAGATGACTGCATTCTTTACCAGATCATCAGTAAACCTAACGACCAGACAACATTAAACAAATTCCTGGATACAATACTTTCATGGTGTTCCACGTGGCAAATGAACAATAATAAAAAAAAACTGTTGCAATGAGAATTACATGTAATAAATGTTACTAGCCTTTCATCTATTCCATTAACAATAATAATATATCTCTCATTCACAGCTATATATACTTAATTGTTACTATTACCTCTAATTTAAGGTGGAATGAACAGTTAAAATACACACGAGAGAAGGTGATGAAAGCACTCGGGTATTTACGAAGAGCCATTGGCAAGACTAATAAAATTAAAATGTTGGTATACAATACTTATGTGCAACTAATTCTGGAATAAGCGTCTGCCAGATGGGACCCTCACACATTAGCAAATATTAAAAAAATAGACTGCATACAAAGAAAATCCGTAAGTTTTATTTAAAACTCTTACAGTAGAAGCACGTCCCCATCAGCCCTCCTGGAAAGTTCTTACTTAAAACCCCTATAACACAGGTGCACCTGTGAAAGACAAACTATTTTGTCAGATCTATCACAATAACCTCAATATCGATAGAGACAAATATATTGAAGTGTTGAAATCACAAATAACACGGTCACATCATAGCAAAAAAGTTCAAGAATTCTCATGTGAAGCCACTACTTTCCAAAAATCATTCTTTCCTCGAGCAGTACTTAATTAGAATGTGCTGCCCTGATGAAGCTGCATCATCCACAAATATTTCTTCAGTTCATCATTACGATAGCAAATCTGCCAGCCATTGTTTGATTTGTCATTATTATTATTATCATCGGCACTGTAACTAATTTCTTCTGTGTGTCTTAGTTGAATGGTTTACTATGTTAAGCGCTAGCTCGTTTGTATGTTACTTTGTGCACATATTTTATTTTTTAAATTTCTTAAACAATTGATACATAGACACAATGAGTTGTTCATGGCATTTTTAGGCAAAACTCCTACAATTTGTGGAAAAGGGGAAAAGAGTTTTACATTGACTGATGTTTTCAATGTTTCTAATTACAAGTCTTCTAGATTTTTTTCCCACGTTGCATTGTTTTTGTTATATAAGTCCTTCCCGTTGTTTTATTGCATCGGAAATTGTTAGGCTTGTGCGAATATTTGAATGCTTTGAATATTTGAACGAATAGTAGAGCATTTGAATTTGTTTAGATTCGAATTCAAATTAATGAAAATTCGAAGTATTCGCAATAAACAAATTGGTAAAAGCCTGTAAAGATGGTTTCACTGCAGTGTAGGAGTGCTAAGCCGTGAAAGCACCTGTTCAAGAGTAATCCGCTTTGCCGTGAAGTCCCACTTCCAATTTAAAGGGGCCCTGCAACACTTTTTGAGCATGGTCACAAAACGCTGCCTATCTGGAGTGGAGCCTACTGAGAACATGTAAGCCAAATATTATAGCGCAGCATGATACGTGCAATTCACAACAAATTCTCAAAGTCTGCTAAAAATTGCTCTCTTTTTTGGGCAAATGACACCACAAGCTCAAAAATAACTCGCCACAGCCATTTTATCAGCGATTGGCTGATTTGAGCACAGTGCGCTCGGTCGTTACTGAAGCCGCCGCGAGAGGCCGCCACTTGTACACAAGTAAGTGCACGACCACACTGAAAAGCCACGTATCGGAAAGAAATAAACGAGGAAAAAAGGGCTCAAGGGTCACGAGGCGCATGGGACATATTTTCTTTCCCCATGTCATTCCTCCCTGCTTAGCTTCCAATGCTTCTCTCGGAACAACAAGAGAGAATACAATTGCAGCGTGTGACAAATCTTTGCATCTTTGCTCGTACTGGACAGATTCTGAACATTTTTGCGGCCGTGAACTCGTGAGGCAATAAGCTGTTTTAGTGAATGCATTCCATGGCTACTTCAAAAATTTTGCCGAGCTTCTTTAAATAAACATATTACCCTCAATTCGATTCATGATTTTATAAGCTTAAAAGCTTGGTATGATGGCTTATATGCTCTACATATAAATTTTAAAATGTTAAGTATTTTGCAGGTTATCACTCGCATCGTACCGAAAGTCAGATCCTGTTGCTACTCAAAGTTCTTTCGACATTGAATGAAAAAAAAAAAATGGGGAGGGGCACTTGCCCAGAGGCCTTATTTGAATAAAAAAAATATTGTGCAGGTTGGTTTGGTCATGATAACTATACCCATTTTTCTTTATATGTTATAAACACTATTCGAATTCGATTTGTAGTTATTCGACCAATATTACTACTCGCTTTGAATTCGCTTCGAACCTAAAATTCACAATTTGCACAAGCCTAAAACTGTAATAATAATAATAATAATAATATATATATATATATATATATATATATATATATATATATATATATATATATATATATATATAACTCATCCCCTGATGAAGGAAGGACCCCTCCCGAAACTGTTGGGAAATAATATTATCCTTGTTGACAACGCTCCCGTTGTGCCATATCCCATACCTTCACGAAGACTAACTGGCCCATTGAATTATTACTCCCACTATATATATATATATATATATATATATATATATATATATATATATATATATATATATATATATATATATATACCTACTCCTGTCTATCACTGCATAGAAGTCTCCACTCTTGCATAAATAAATAAATTAGTGCTCAATGAATTACTTCATAGAGTTTCATGCAATAATATAAAACTCTATGAATTACTCATTATCAGTCATACTATCTAGCAGTTTTACAATTTAGTAATTTTTGTTGTGCTTGCAGATCAAAACTCAACCTCAAAACCTTTGGTAACATAATGACTGGCATGTCATTACACTATAGGCATGTCAAGTCGCTACATATCTGGCTGTGAGAGATAATGTTGGCATTAGGCCAATGTAATGAAGATGGCAGAAACAGAAGTACATGCATTACTTAACCTCAAAAAGTAATGCTTCAAACGGTGAACACTGTACCTGGCTTGTGATGTTCAGTTATGTATGATTGGTTACTTGATTGATGACATAAAGGTTGACAGGTGATGCAGCTTCGAGCACATGAATTTAATGGGAACTGTACAGCATAGTATTTGCAGTCGTGCTATAGAATAGCATCATACAAGCAAATTTATTACCTAGCAAATCTTGGTGCAATGGTATATCATCTTGATGCTCCAACAAATGTTCGCAGAGTTGAACTAGCGATAACAATATTGGGAAATCAGGTATCGTAGGTTTTTTTCTGGTTTTCACTTGGACTTCCAGTAGCTTGCAGTGTTCAAAATTGATGCAGGCATTTTACATTACAGCTCAGGGACTAAAAAGAGTAGACACAACACAAGCGCTGGTTGTGCAACACCACTGTATGCACAGCGATGTAAGAATGTGCAGCAAAGGGCCCCTTGGTGAAGGAGTTAGTATGTTCCATTGAGCACACAAATGCACTTGTGCCATTGGGGCCTCCATGTGTGGAAGTGTTTACATTCATGATGAAACAAGCGCTAAAAATACACACTCAGAGAGGACACAGACAAGCGCTTTACCAACACGCCCAACTGGCAGTCGTCTAAATGTTTACATTATTCAATGGAGGCAATGCTTAAACTCGCGGCTCAGGGAGCATAAAAATGCTTTGCGAGGTCATGTTCTCTTGATGCACTTGGCAATTCATTGCAGAAATAGTCGATGCATCGTGGAATTTTCTCGAATGAGGATTCTTTTCCGCCACCACGATGACATGTGAAATATTCTACGCTTACAGAATACACAAGCCAGGGCGTAACTGTGTCAGCCATTATGATCTTCACTTGAAAGTCAGTCCTTGTGTTGTGCCTACGCTTTCTTACTCCTTGTTCTTTTACACTGTTTTACTTCTACCAGCTATAGAGTTGTCTAAAAGGGGCCTTCCAACACTTCTGAAGCAGCTATTTTATATTTGTGTATTGCAGTGATGGCTGGGGATTTTAGCATTGGTCTAAGCGGCCATATCAAGTGATCGCTGCTGAATGCATCAGCACATTGTGGCACTCCCCAGAA